CCTATAAGTTCATGTGAATGATCAGAAATCCCAGGTATATAGTAGAGCTGACAAGGGGCAAGGTTATGGTCATTGCTTGGTCACAGCCAGCTACCCAGAGGGACCGAGTAGTTGATCCTGTGGGCTTGGAACACTCCATTGTATCTTGTAACTCTCTTAACTTCCTCACCATTTAAAAGTTCTGTAACTACACAGTCTTTTCCCTCTTTTTGTTTGTTGTCCTCACTTGCCAATTGATGTCTCTGGTTCTGTTTACAATCTTGTAAGCTCATTTTACTTTGAATATGTCCATAGCTGTGGTTTCCGGGTTGTGTCATCTTGTGTATCAATGGTCGGTTGTTATTTGCTATTTTTGGTTCTTTGTTCAAAGGACTCCCTTTAGCATCTCTTGTAAGGTTTGTCTGGTTTTAACAAATTCCCTTAGTTTCTGCTTATCTGGAATCTCCTAATTTCACCATCCTATTTGCATGACAATTTTGCTGGGTATATAATTATTGGTTGAAAATTTTTCTCTTTCAGGGTTTTATATATATACCATCCCATTGCCTTCTCACTTGCATGATTTCTGCTGAGAAATCAGAGCTTATTCTTACTGGCAGTCCTTTATAAGTAACTTTTTGTTTTTCCCATGCTGCTTTCAGGATTCTGTCTTTGTCTTTGGTTTTGTGAGTTTGATGATATGTCTTGGTGATTTTCTTTTGGGGTCTATCCTGTTTGGGGTTCTTTGGACTTCATGAATGGATATATTCTCATCTTTCCTCATATCAGGGAAGTTCTCCTCCAACAGATCTTGGAAAATTTTCTCAGTGCTATTATTTTTCTCTTTCTTTTCTGGAATTCCAATGACACATAGGTTATTCCTTTTGATGGTATCCCACATGAACCTTAGGCTTTTTTCATTTAAATTTTTTTTTTTTTTCTGATTGATCCCTTTCCAAAGAAGTATTCAGGTATTTGTCTTCAATGTCATTAATTCTGTTTTCCATTGCATCAATTCTGCTCCTTTGCCCTTCCAATGTGTTATCTGTTTCTGACAATTCAGTATTAATCTTCTGGATTTCTATCTGTAGATTTAGAATCATTTCTAATTTTTCATTTATTTTGTCATTTTGTTCTTGTATTTTCTTCCAAAATCTTCTAGGGTTTTTTCTCTGTTTTCTTTAGTCTGTGTCTCAATCTTTTGACGATACCTAAATATCATTTTTTTGAATTCCTTATCTGAGAGTTCCAATGCTGCTTCTTCCTCAGGGATGTGTTCTGAATCTGTATCCTGTTCCCTTGTTTCTATCACTTTATCTTGATTCTTTGTGTGGACTGTGATGGTCTGTTGTTTCTGAGGCATCATGGCATTGTTGTATTTAGATCTCTGTTAACTGTTTGTGAAGAGCAGCCAAGGGTGGTTCAGGCTCTTCTTGGTGGTTTTTTATTGGCCCGTTGATGGAGAAGGAAGTGGTGGCTCTCGGTCAGTAAGTAAAGTTGCAAGAGATGTGGGTGTAGTTGTGTCTAATGGGGATTGTTGCTGTCTGCCAATCAATTAGACAAAAATTACTACTGAATAAGCATCAAAAAACTAAAATCACATGGACAAAAAATACACCATGTAGTCACACAGGAACCATAACCAAAAAAAGGAAAAAGAAGAAGAAGAAGAAGAAAAAAAAAAAACAAGAACCTGCAATATCTGGATATAGGGCAATAAGAGAAAAAAGGTAGAGAAGGAGAATAATGAAGAAAAAACAGGAAAATTTTAAAAAGAAAAACAAGGAACAGGGTTAACCATGAGAAAAAATAGAAAAAAGAAAAAAAAAATGCAACCATGAACAGGGAAAAGAAAAAGAGCTGAAAACTATCACTTGGGAGGGGAAGAATAAAGAATAATAGGAAAAAAGTCAAATGTATTAATAATAGTAGCAGTTTTAAAACAGACAAAAACAAGCAAACTAAAAACCAGAAAAAAGAAAGAGAAAAAAAAAAGAAAAAGAAAAAAATCAGGGGATGGTAGGGCAGGGCACCCAGGCTCTGCCTGAGCACATAGACTGGGATGGAGTTCCTGTGGGCCCAGAAGGTGGGTGGGACTGGGTGATGGCCACACTTCCGTTCACCAAGGGGTGTGGAGTATAAGAGTAACAAGGGAAATGGAGCACCTTTTCAGCCATCTAGGTCTGGAGGGCTCTTGGGGTTACTGGTAAGCAGAACATGTTCTTAATTAAGCCCCAGGGATCTCAGAGAGTGCTGTCTCTTTAAATATCCAAAATGGTCAAGCCACTTGTAAACATTCAAAATGGCAGCATCCTCCGGACAGGCAAAAGTCCACAACTCAGCCCACCTTTCTCTTTGCTGGTGCTCTTGTTTTGCTCCCCCAGCCTCCAGAGCAGTCCTGTGTGCAGTCCCTGTGTAGCAGGGCTGATTTTTAGGTTAATTCTTAGGTCCTATCACCACTCAGCACTCTCCAAGCTGTCTGTGCCGTGCCATCAGGCTTGCTCAGGATAGCTGCCAGACTGCCAGTCTGTATGTCTCCTTTTTTGGTATTTTCATGAAAATTCTTCTGCTAGTTGGGGTTTAGTCCACTTCTATATCCTTCCCATCAAGCTCAGGGCTCCAGGATTATCTTCCATGTGTGTATTAATTGGTTCCCCTTTTTTTTATTGAAGAGGGTCTGTGCAGTCTTTCTCCCTATTCCACTATTTTACTGGAAGTCTGGACTCAGTTTCTTTATCTGTACTCTGTTCTATTAATCTATAGGGAATTTTCTGGATTCTTGAGAGTATTTTCATAAAACGTCAACATATCACTTCTCAAGCATGATTGCTTCTTATCCCCTAATACAAATAGAGGATAATTTAAAAACAAAAATGAACTTTCATAATGTGATTGAACATAATAGGTACAATATTAAAAGAGTATATAAGTAATAGAATGAATATTATCTTTCCACTAGCCATAAAATACCTGAGCCAATCTTGTGTACTCTTCCTGTGAAAAATTATTTTAATTCCATATAATCTTTTTTTTTTTTTGGCTATGTTTCAATTCTTCAATTGTTTTGAAAAATAGATATTTTTTTCTCTAAGAAAAGTTAGATTGCCTTTGTTTGGTAATGGGTACAGAGTACTTCTGGGTAAAAGTAATAAGATTAAAAACTTACTTCCACTCTGACTCTACTAACAAGTGTAAATCCACTAAACATTTCATTAATTTCAAACACAGGCAGAAAGTAACATTTGCCAAGACTAAGCTAATCCTCATTGACTTCATCACCTTTTACATCTCTTCTCCTAGACTTCAGAATGACTGGAATGAAGTTGCCGGCTAGCTGAAGGGTCATATGGCAGCAGAAGAACCCAAGCATTGTGAATTCTTTACCTTTGTCTACTGCACACATTAACGTAAATTCTCCCCCCACCCCTGACTCACACAATACTGCCCCAACCGAAGACATTAGCAAACACTTTTCAGGTAGAGGAAATAAATCTGTGCATTTAATAAAATATCACTCACAGGTTTCCTTGTCATAGCAATGTCAGTTCTGGGTTTAATCAATAATTTAGGACTAACCCTCCTTCAATAAAACTTATTGAGCTATATTCCCAAAAGGACATAACGAACTCACTTTGACATTCACTCAAATCACTAAAGCAGATGTCCAGCCTAGTGGATTATTTAGCTTGGATATCACTACTCAATTTACCTGGTGTGTGATCAGAATCAGGACTCAGTGTTTCAGCAGGAATTTTTGTGCCAGTGACCCAGTCCAAGTCATCCTGGGAGTCTTGAGTAAGACTGCAAGCTGTGGTCCAGTGTCCTAAGGTTTCAAAATTGCAGCTTCCAGTTGTACTTGTGTATAGGCCTAAGGAAACAGAAAAAATAATGTAATTTTCTAGAAATGTGCATCATACTTGATATTACACTATATTCTTGATGATTTAAAATTACTATTTGGCATATTTTAATTATTTATAAATAAATTTACAGGACCAGGTGCTATGGATTAAATTGTGTACCCAAGAGAATATGTGTTATAAATCCTAATCCCCTCTACCTGTGGTTAAGGACCCTTAGTGACATAATGGTTAAGTGGTAGGCTGCCAAATAAAAGGTCAGTGGTTGGAACCCACTAATGAGTACATGGGAGGAAAGACCTGGTGATGTGCTCTGGTAATAGTTTAGAGAACCAGGGCAGTTCTACTCTGTCATATAGGGTCACTATAAATTGCAATGAACTGGCTGGCACACAACATCATATCTGCATATATAATGCCATCTGGGAATAGGGTTTTCCTTGCTATATTAATGGGCCCATATCAGTGTAGGGTGTTTTAAACCAATTACTTTTAATACATACACACACACACTCACACACACATATATGAGGATTAGGCACAGAAGGAGATATGGGGGTGGTAATCAACACTATCTGAAGACTACGGGAGCAGACCAGTCTAAAACCCAAGATCTCTAAGAAATGCTGGGGCTAGAGAAGCTAAGCAAAGAATTTTCCCCCAGAGCAAAGAGAGAGGGAGCCTTCCATTAGAGCCAGTACCCTGACCTGAATTGGGTCTTCTAGCATCCTAAAGTATAAGAAAATAAATTTACATTTGTTAAAACTACCAACTCATGGCATTTTTGTCATAGCAGTACATAGTGAGACACAGGGCATTTGCATTCAACGGTACTATCAGTTGATGTTACTGTTGGCACCTATCAAATTGGTCCAACTCATGGTAAGCTCATGCACAATGGGACAAATGCTGTCTGGTGCTGTGCCATCCCCATGATTGGTCATGGCTGGGACTATTGTGATCCACACGGTTTTAAGTGGTTGATTTTTGGAAGTAGTTTGCCAGGTCTATCTTCCAAGTCTCTCTTAGTGTGGAAGATCCGCTGAAATCTGTTTAGTATCATGGCAACATGCAAACCTCCACAGACAGACTAGTGGTGGCTATGCACGAAGTATCAAAAAACAAAACAAAACAAAACAAAACTCCAAATTCATTGCCATGGAGTTGGTCCTGACTCATAGTGACCCCTCCTTGGGTTTCCCAGGTGGTATTACTACGGAAATAGATTGCCCAACCTTACTTCCGAGGAGTGGCTGGTGGGTTTGAACCTCCAGCCTTCTGGTTAGTAGTCAAATGCCTTAGGCACTACACGACCAGAGCTCCCGCATAAAACTCATTAGCTGGAAATTGAACCAGGCTCTCTCACATAGAAAATGAGAATTCTGCCCCTGAATAACCACTGCCCTCATTTTCAGTTATACACTGTAGGTTTTTTTTTTTTAATCAAAGGGTTTAGAAATAGTGTTTGACTATTGTCATTTATATGTAAAGAAGTTATACAGATTGTACAATGATTTTTATAAATTATCAATAAAACTGTGTCTACACATGTAAGAGTAACATCACATTGTGATAACAATACAGATAATTGAGTTTAAATAATGAATAATGTGGGTTATCTGGATGTTAAATTCAGTCCCTCTATTTACCCTGGCTTTGGAACAGCGTAGGCCATTAAAAACAGAGTCATTTACAAAAGAAAAGGAAGTTGTGGGGGAAGTAGTTAACTACATAAGACACAGACCATCTTGATATGGCCTATCAATAATTGGCACATAATATTTCAGAGCTAGTCACTAAATAATGAAAGAAGTTCTCTTCTGAGACAGTTGATTGATAACTCATTAAAAATTAAATTAATCAAAATGAGAAAAATTAATAGATAATAACTATGTCCACTTCCCAGTCATTAGTGAAAAGTGTCATCATAACAAACTGGTGTCTGAGCTTTCATTTCTCTTTAGGGTTTTTTCCTTTTTTTTCCACAGCAGTTATTACTTTTGAGCACTCACTGTAAAAACTGACTGTTGTGCAGACAGAATGAATTATTGGGTGATTTAATCAGTATGAGTCATCTTAGATTGTCATTAACTTTTCTTTTTAGAAAGATGAAGTTTGTGATATTTTTAACATTTCTTCTTCAGTTGGCTTCTCATTTATAACTTTCTCTTAGAAACACAAAACTAACGTTAGCACAGAAAAATCTTAGAAACAAAAATAAAAACCTGACTGTTAAAATGGATGCCAAAAATATAGCCCACAAAGTTTTAATATTATTATGGGAAATTTTATGTATTCTTCAGTTTTCATAAAACAGCAGCCTTTCTCTTCTCAAGCATGATGGTATCTTATCCTTAAAAATTAGAATTGTTTGTAATCATGTACATTTCTCCTTTACTTCATTTGAGATGACTTAATAGTTCAATGATTTTGATAGGCCTATTATGTGCTCTGTATGTCTTTTTTATGCTTGTTACACCAGCATGTATGATACAGAATATTTATTTTATTCCATAACTATATTTGTTGTTGTTAGGTGCCACTGAGTTGGTTCTGACTCATAGTGACCCTATGTACAACAAAATGAAACATTGCTAGGTCCTGCATTGTCTTTACAATTGTTCCTATGTTTGAGTCCATTGTTGCTGCCACTCTGTTAGCCATCTAATTGAGGATCTTCCTCTTTTTCGCTAACCCTCTCATTTACTGAGCATAATGTCCTTCTCCAGGAATTGCTCCCTCCTGATAACATGTCCAAAGCATGGAAGACAAAGTTTTGTGATCTTCGCTCCTAAGGAGCACTCTGCCTATACTACTCCCAAGACAGAATTGTTCTTTCTTCTGCTATTCCATGGTATATTTAATATTCTTTGCCAACACTTTAATTCAAAGGCATCAACTCTTCTTCAGTCTTCCTTATTCACTCTCTGGCTTTTACATGCATTTGAAGTGATTAAAAGTACAATGGATTTGAATAGGCTCACCTTAGCCCTCAAAGTGACATCTTTGCTTTTTAACACTTTGAAGAGGTCTTTTGCAGCAGACTTGCCCAAAGCAATGTGTTGTTTGATTTCTTGACTGCTGTCTCCATGGGGGTTGATTGTGGATCCAAGTAAAATGAAATCCTTGACAATTTCAATCTTTTCTTCATTGATCATGATGGTGGTTGTTGGTCCAGTTGTAAGGATTTTTGTTTTCTTTATGTTGAGGTGTAATTCATACTGAAGGCTAAGGTCTTTGATCTCCATCAGTAAGTGTTTCAAGTTCTCTTAGCTTCCAGCAAGGAAAGTTGTGTCATGTGCATATTATAGTTTGTTACTGAGTCTTCCTCCAATTTTGATGTCATGTTCATCTTTATATAGTTCAGCTTCTTGGATTATTTTCTTCTTTGAATATATGGTTAAAAGTGAGAAATTCAATCCTCCAGATGTTCAGCCAATATAACTCTAACCATTCAGAATCTTCTCATGTACATACAACACAGTTACTATGTGTAAGTCTTTAAACTAATGCCAGCACAGGTTCTATGATATTGTATCATTCTTTGATGCATAGGTTCTACATCCTTTTTCCATTTCCTGTGACTTCCCTGTGTCCCTTCTGCCTCATCTACTTTAACATATGGCTTTAACTTTTACCCTAAAGATAAGCATAAAATCAAGATAAATTCCCTTTTATTATTTCACTTCAAAGTATGTTACTTTTTCTTTTCTCTTTCCTAAGGCTAATCCAACAAGTGATTCAACAGAATGTGGAAATTACTGAACAATATCATTAATATCACACACAAGTAAAATTCTTCTGAAGTTAATTCAAAAACAGTAGCAGCAGTATATTAATAGGGAACTTCCAGAAGCTCAGGCTGGATTCAGAAAAGATGTGGAACAAGAGATGTCATTGCTGATGTCAGATGGATCTTGGCTGAAAGCAAAGAATACCAGAAAGAGATTTACCTGTATTTTACTGGCTATACAAATGTATTTGACCTTGTGGACCATAATAAATTATGAATAACATTGCAAAGAATGGGAATTCCAGAATACTTAATTGTGTTCATGAGGAACCTGTACTTAGACTAAGAAGCTATTGTTTGAATAAAACAAGGGATATTGCATGGTTTAAAATCAGAAAGGGTATATGTTAAGGTTGCATCGTTTCACCAACTTTATTCAATCTGTATGCTGAACAAATAATCCTAGAGGCTGGACTATATGAAGAAGACCACAGCATTAGGACTGGAGAGACACTCATTAACAACCTGTGATTTGCAGATTACACAACTTTGCTTGTTGAAAATGGAGATGACTTGAAGTACTTACTGATGAAGATCAAAGACTATAGTCTTCAGTATGGATTACACCTCAACATAAAGCAAGCAAAAATCCTCACAATTGGACCAATAAGCAACATCTCACACAATAAATGGAGGAGAAATTGAAGCTGTCAAGGATTTCATTTCACTTGGATCCATAATCAACATCTATGGAAGTATCAGTCAAGAAATCAGACATCATATTGCACTTGGCAAATCTGCTGCAAAAGTCCTCTTTAAAGTGTTAAGGAGAAAAGATGTCACTTTAAAGACTAAGGTATGCCTAATCAAGTCATGGCTTTTTCAATTGCCTCACAATGAATAAGGAAGACTGATGAAAAATTGATGCCTTTCATATGTGATGCTGGTGAAAAATACTGAAAATAACATGGACTTCCAGATGAATGAACAAATCTGTCTTAGATGAAGTGCAGTGGAATGGTCCTTAGAAGCAAGAATGGCCAGAGTTTGACTCACTACTTTGGCCATATTATTAGAAAGGACCATTCTCTGGAGAAGGATACCATGCTTGGTAAAGTAGAGGGTTAGTAAAAAAGAGGAAGACCCTCAACGAGATGGATTGACATCATGGCTGTAACAATAGGCTCAAACATAACCAGGATTGTGAAGATGGCAAGACTAGGCAGTGTTTTGTTCTGTTGTATATAGGGTTGCTATGAGTCGTGGCCCTTGACA